CAATACCGTCCACTTTGGGCTCATCAAGTGACACACTGGGTCCTCTGCCTTTCTCCTTTTCCCCCAGCACCAGGTGGTCCTTAATTATGCAGAAGGCAGCATTGCTTTGAAGATGTAAGTGCCGTTCCCTGCACAATTCTATGCAAGTGGTGACATTTCCTCAGGGGAACGGTCCCATGACACACTACACTTAGGTCCTTAATTATGCAGAAGGCAGCATTGCTTTGAAGATGTAAGTGCCGTTCCCTGCACAATTCTATGCAAGTGGTGACATTTCCTCAGGGGAACGGTCCCATGACACACTACACTTACAAGAAGAGTGGTGAAAGATGCTGGGTGTCAATCAACCCGGCAGAGGACAGGGCACTAGATCTTTGGGGCCAGAAAGCACTGCATATGGTGTGAACGAGGCCTAAGGCAGGTTATGTTGTTCTTTTAATCGCTCAAAAGGACAGTAGTGTATAAGAGACCTTGTCCAAAAGATCCACGAGATGAAACATGCCTTTGGTTTGCCACATCCCCACCCACTCTCGTGACAGTATTACCCTTTTTTAATGCACATGTTTTTAAACAAAAGCTTTTATATACATTTACATAAAATCTTTATATTAAAACACCAAATTCAATAGCGGGCACACTAAAAAAAAAAACCAAAAAAAAAAAAACCAAAAAAAAAAAAACCACAGGGATGATAAAGGCTAAGTTACACATTTCTGATATGGCATTCACATCAACATGTTTGCTATTACGTGTGCACTATGCCATATTTTAACCACAAAGCAGTTCTGTTTTGCATTCAACAGTTACCAAAATAACTAGCAAACCTGACAACTTCTCAAGACCACCACAGGAGAGGTGAAACAGGCTGTGGTTCTTATGTCTCAAAATAATTAAGCTGTATAGACAACAGCAACCAATTGACGTAACAGGAAATCTACCAGAGAGTAGGGAACTGCCTTCTTAGGCAGTTGTCCCCTTAAGAGGGGACCCCACTGGATTCCCTTTAGCTTTTGTTCTAGGGACAACTCTACAATTTTCCAGCTATTTTCTTTCTCCCTGATGGGGATACAAACAGCAATAAAAACCTAACAGAGGGTATAATCGGGAGGTCGGCAACCACCGGCACACGTGCTAATGGTGGCAGCCAATGCCTTTTCTACTGGCACGCACCCCCACCTCCCTCACTAAAGCACTCCAACAGCGGAGGTCACTTGAGGCAGTGCATGAAGAGGACCACCTAATGGAGTTCTGAGCTAGTTCCCCTGTCCATAGCCACCGGACCTACAGGTATTACATCTGGGCTCCTTGGCACACTCCCACCCTTTCCTATACTAGCTCTAGTGCACACTGCTGCTGGCTCTGCACCCCCCAGTCCAAACTATTCCTTGACACCGGCCCCCAGGCCATCCAATGGTTCCCCCGTTAATGAGAGCACTGCAGTCGAAAAGATTGTAAGCCCCTAACTCCCCAGAGCTCAGCTCTCTCCACTCACCAGTTGTGTGTTCCCTGTGTGCAAAAAGCATTGCTGCCAGTACCCAGGCTATCAAGGAGGCCACTAAGGTGGAGGAATGAAAGTTTAAATTTTAAAAAGTGAGGTTTTTGTATGTCTGTAAAGGTGCCCACACACCTTACAATTTATCTGCAGATTTTCTGTGGTCAGATGGAAAAAGTGCAACAGATTGGCCCAGGTGGAGATTACTCCATCCACACAGTTAAGTGCAGATGGAGGAATCTGTTGCACCTTTTCCATCTGACCACAGAAAATCTGCAGATAAATTGTAAGGTGTGTGGGAAGCTTAAGGGTCCAGTCAGATGGTGGAATGAGGGTAAATTGCCTGCTGCGTTTATCTGTGACTAAATGCTGCATCTGAACACAGTAGCACTCTTTGGTATGGAATACAAAAGGGGACGATTAGCTGTGGCCAGTTTGTATACAGTTATAAATACTGTCCCTAAATGCATACGGTCTGTGCCAGGGATGGCCAGAGGCCCTAATCATATGTAACCACTCAGATGAGTGGTCACATGTGAACTGCGGCAGCACCAGCCATTAAAGTCTACAAATCTAACCGCACCGCTGCTGGCTGCAACTAGTCGCACACAATGTGTACATGCCTGCCCGCAAGAATCACACATTCTCAATAGGAACGACCCATGGTAACAGTTCCTAAGACTCATGTTTGTGCCACTGTAATTAAGAAGTATTTTGCGAGTACAAGGACTGAGACATATATTTGTGGTCTATACAAGAGTGACCACAGATTCTATTAAGCAACAACCCAATATTTAGCTTAATTTAATACACCCGCAACATGCATAATGCCACAGGTTCTAACGTCCCTGAGCTGTCCCTCTTTCTTAGGTTCTAAACTTGGGAGGTTGTGAGGAGTGTGTGTGTGTGTGTGTGTGTGTGTGTGTGTGTGTGTGTGTGGGGGTGTGTGAGGGGGAGTGTGTGGGTGTGTGTGTGTGTGTGTGTGTGTGTGTGTGTGTGTGTGTGTGTGTGTGTGTGTGGTTATTAAAGTGTATAGGGGGTGGTGATATGATTGGGGGTCATGGTCAGGGAAGTTGTATGGGGCCCCTTGATGTTTCAGCACACTAGGCTCAAAAGGTTGCCTGCACCTCGAACCCCTCACCACTCTCAATCTAAAAAGGCTTTCCCTAGTGGTACACGTCAACTGGCCTCACATAATAAAACAGGGGAAAGAAAAATTGTCTACTACGACAAGAATGTTCCCTTTATTTTACGAACAAACAAGATACTCTGGCCAAGAACAGCACACTTTGTGAAGTCCAGTTAACGGTGCAGAGGCTTGCTAAAGGGAATGAACATGAAAAGTAGATTTGTGGTTCTTTTTATGGGAAGTACCATGACACACAACTACCCACCCATACTGGCCGTTTCATTTTCCAATAAACCTAACTGCATATTACTGTGGTGCAGCTACTTCATAAAAACACAACTACATGCGCACTGGCTGCAATAAATGACTTGCTAAAACACAAGTGCAAGTAGGAAACATAAGTTTTATCAAATGAGTTCTTATAATAAAAAAGGTATATATATATATATATAAATAATTACCACGTTATGAGCAATTTCTATTTCTGCTTGATAAGATTTCCAGTAATTACCCATCCTAAACATTTACAAATGTGGTAAACCAGCCAAACAAAAAATAGATGTTAAAAAGGGAAATTCCTCTTTCCGGGAAAAAAAAAACCCCCCATTACATTTATTTCTAAAAGAAAAAAAAAGAAAAATGTTAATTTATTTGTTTGCATTGGAGCCAGTAAAGCATTGCAACTAAGATCAGTAGTTCATGGGTTCAATGCTCTGGCTCCTGCAGACTCTTCCTTCTGTCCATGTCCGTACCGTGCCGTGCCATGGATATTCACTAACTTTGACGGCAGGAAGTGTCAATGGACTACAAATGCACTGACGTCACCACACCTGTATTCTATTGAGAACGACAAGTCCCTCTGCCATGGTGGACGTTCCCCCATTCACAGATTGGGTCAAAGGATCTGTAAATGGATGATGCAGCTGTATAGGCAGAGCCACACACAGGCGCACCAAATTCAAACTTGCAAACAAGCCTGCAGGGCGAAGAAGCCTGTGATTCATGCAAGTGGGGAAGGGAGTGGTGAGAGGGGGGATGATGTTGCAATCTGATCTGATCATCTGACATGGGTGTAACATGACACATGGTCAGAAAGGTAAACTGAGCCTTTAACTCTAAGGCCCTATTCACACACGAATCGGCCTGCACATACAGCTCCGTGCTGCATGCGGGGCCGTACCAAGTAGCTGCCGGGAAGGACAGGTGCTGCGTGTGATTAGAACGCAGCCCCCGTCCTTCTCTATGGGGCTACGCCCCATTTGCAGGTCCGTAGGGGTACAGGTGATCGTATCCATACCCCGCCGGAATGGAACATGTATGCGTCCCGACCAGAAAACCCGCACCCCTACGGACCTGCAAATGAGGTGAGCTTAGGGGGGCGTACGGCCGCGTAGCCCCATAGAGAATCGTGTCGTGTGTGAATGAGGCCTTAACTGAAGTACATTTAATTTGTTAAAACTCTACAGCAGGGGTGTCAAACTCAATTTCATCACGGGCCGAATCAGCATTATGGTTGCCCTCAAAAAGGGCCAGTTGTATCTTTTAGACTTTATAAATGTATCTACTGTTTAGCATATTAAATAATTGCTCTGCATTCCATTATTACTGGTTTTAGTAATAACTAGCTCTGAAAGTAGAAGTCTAGAAAAAATAAAAAGGCAATTAGTGTAATATTGTGGACTCTCAGGTGGGCTGTGTGTCTCACCAAGGGTTCTGGTTGGTCTCGGCAGGTGGATCCACAGGAAGGGGGGGGAGGAAATTTTGTGGCCGATTCTCTAAACAGGCGGCCGCGATT